TCCTCGTATGATTAAGTAGTTTTGGAAAACCGTGAGAATGGGGAAGGAAATATAGACGGACATAAATTTTGGATGGGCCCCATTGCTGCAAGTTGAAAAGATGAATTCCATGTCCATTCAATATTCATAATCAATCTTATCTAGATTTACAATTTTCCTTCCAATTTTTTGTCTTTAAATTTATTAAAAATTAAAAAGAAAAGTTGATTGGGATAAAAAATAACATAAATTTTTAAATAAAATATTAAAAAAATCTTCCTAGCAAAATTCAATGTTTTACTTTTATTTGTATGAAACAATTGTATTAAAATGTTTTTATATTTGACTCATTTTTTATTTTTTAATCAACTGTGTTTTGCTTTTGTTCGTTTTAATTTTTTTCTATAATAATTTTTTTTAGCAAATATAAAAGTAAACAGTAACAAAGACCCTAGCCAAACTCACATCACAATTACTTCTTAAAAGTATTTGACATGTGATTATCAGTTTAAAAATTACAGTAATTTGCATGTTATATTACTTTATTTGGTAACAATTTAAAAATTTTATGTGATAGTGATACCAATTTACTGGGATAATAAGATCACTACCTTAAGGAGTGATCTGATTCCTAACATAAAGACAGAAAAAAATTTATTATCATGAGAAAGTAATTTTCAATATTATTTTGACTAATTTATTCTGATGAAAAATTTAGTAAAATTGCCCTAAAATGTAGTTGGTTAATAAAAATTTTAAAAATTGATTTTTCTAATCACTTATTTTAAAAAATATTTTTTGTTACAATTGAATAAATATTTATTGATTAAAAATATATGCTAAATATATTTAATAGTTTTAAAAATTATTTTAATTAAAATTGATTTATTACTTTATAGTTTTTTTTATCAAATAACATTTAATTATTTTATAAATTATTCATTCAATAAATGTTTAATTTTTTTGCAAAATTATTTTTGATATTTTATGCTCTATGATTTATTTTTTCGTATAATATTAAACACAATGATTTAATATTAATAGTGATTTACAACATTACACCAAATATGATAATTTAAGATCATTGATGATCAAATCATCTTAATGATTTTATTACTATAATGATTAGATCGCTGTAGTGATTTTGAAAATAATACCAAATATTATTTTAAAGCTATGTTGTAATTGTCCATACATATAATTTTCTTGAAAATATTAAGGTCAAAGTTATCATCAATATATTATTATGACTCAATATTAAAATTTATCAATATATTTTAATTTAGTTAATTTTTAAATAAAAAATAAAATAATTGAAATATTATAAAAATATTTTATCAATGCAAGAGATAAATTTTCGTTAATTCTGTTATTTTTTATTCAAGAACAAAATTCAATGAAATTTATTTAACAATATTAACTGATAATGCAGTGATAAATATGACTTTATTCTTCGATTTTTTTTTTATTTCATTGCATTACATTTTCGAAAGCTGATCAGTCCCTTATGAATAAATTTCCAAGGACATTGGGAACTGTTTAATTACTTTGATAGAGTTGTAAAAGTGTAAAGAACAAGTTGGCAAAAGAGCAAGGATGTCATGAAGAATTTTATTTTTTATCTTAATAGAGACGGAGATAAATACTATATTTTAAATAAGGATGAATATTATTTTAAATGTTTTTCGCGTAAGTGTAAACACTTTAGTTTATCAGAATTTTTTTTTTATATTCAATGAGCTTCAAATTTCATTATTAGCCTAATTGAGAAATTAAACTTTAAGTCCAAAATTGAAAGCCTTAAAGTATTTTTAATTTTAATTTTCCATTCCTATTAATTATTCAGTCAAACAGCCAAGTTAAAGTAAAAAAAGTTCTTAATTTATTTTCTTTATTTCTTTTATTTTATTTGTTTATTTTTTATTAAAAAAAAAAGAAAACCAAAATTGAAAACTGGGAAAGCAATCAAGAATTCAAATCTTTCGATTTTGTTTAGATTTAAAATTTAAGGGCTAAATTTGTTCTAGAAATACCTAAGCATTAAGCTACTGTTAAAGGAAAGGATTTCAAAAAAATCTTGACAAAATTTTGATAGATTCGATTGTATTTGAAATTTTCCTATTCAATTTGGGATTTGAATCCCTATATCAAGATCATAATACACAGACAAGCAATTCATAGAGCCAATAAGTCATTAAAGCAATTACAGTACAATTTTCTAGCAAAATAGAGTATACATAGTGAGCAAAATTTTGGATTTTTTATTTCGGTTTCTAGGTTTTAAGCAAAGCTGTTTCAATTTTTTGATATTTTTGAAATTTGTTTCTGGGGTTCTGGTAAAGAGTATTGTTTACTGTTTGAGATTTTTTTTTTTTTGAGGTGTTTAGGAATTTTGGGATTTTTGAAATTTCTTTGGGTTATCAGAGAATTTTTAGAATTTTTTTGTTATTTTGATGATTTTCTGGGTCAAATTGAATTTTTCGGCCGTCTCTTAAATTTTTTTAGTGAGATTAACGATGGTACGAGGAATTTTACTGTAGGAGTTTGTTGAATTTTTATGTGGAAATTTTAAAGAGAAGTTGGAGAACTGTTGAGCTACTCTTGAAGGGGAAATTTTTGCTTGACCTGCGTATGACTCGCTGACTTTTGCATTATTTTGGTTTTGGATCCGACCCGTTTCACAAGATTTTTTCTTCTTTTCTGATAATTTCTTTTTTTTTTCTTTATTCATTTAATTTTGATTGCTTAATTTTTTAAAAAGTTTTTTTTTTATATTTTTTTAATTTGATTCGGTTTTGTTTATTAGGAAATAATAATGAAAAAAGAAAAGAAAAATAAATTTGAATTTTAAAGTTTTGCATGTTTATGATAATTTTGTATGATTATTTATTTTTTTGCATGCTTTTTGTATGATATGTATTTTGCTTGATTTATTATGGTATTATTACATGATTTTTATTAGGATATTTTTGTATGATTTATTATGGTATTATTGCATGATTTTTTATTAAGATATTTTTGCATAATTTTTATTATGATATTATTGCATGAATTTTATTTTTTATGGCATGATTTTTATTTTGGTATTATTGTATGATTTTATTTTGATATTTTTGCATGATATTTTTATTATGATAATGTTGCATGATTTTTTTATGATATTTTCTTATGTTATTTTTTGATAATATTTTTGTATAAAAAGGGAATAAATTGATTTGTTTGAGATAAGATATTTAATAAATTTGATGAGGTATCCTTTCCCAATAAATAATGAGTTTATTTTGAATACTTTCTAGGTGAGAGTTTTTTTTTTTTTTTTGAAAGCCTAAAGACTTTTATTTAAATATGAAATTAATAAAAATAATTTTTGATTAAGGTATAGAGAAGATAATATAAGACTAATTTGATATTAATTTTAGTTGTTGTGAAGATGTTAAAATCTTTCTCATGTATAAACAACTCTTAAACCTAATTCTGTTGATGTAGACTATAATTTTTTTTTAGAAACTCTTAATTAAGCTTAAGATAACTTTAAGAAAATAAATTTTTTTCACATAAAGATAAAAAAATTGGTGACAACTTTTTTTTTTTGTATTTAATGATCAAAATTTTGAACTTAAACATTATAATAATACAGGTATGAGGATAGATAATACTGCACTGTCCATAGCTATACTTGTCTCTTATATATATTTATATATTTAATAAATTAATTTTTTGTTTAATAATATAAATTTTATTTTAAATTAATTGAAGTTAATATATTGTATTTAAAAATATATTTATAAAAAATTACATAATTGTACAAAATAAAATTAAAAATTAAAAACTTAAATTTTATTTTTAATTTTTTTTAAACATTATGAATTCAGATATTACTTATATATATTAAATATCCACAAAAATAAAAGAATGAATGATAATAAAATATTTGTTTGATATAAGTACGAAAATATATATAATATAGAAAACAAGATGAAAATGAAAAATATTTGATCTCTCCCATGGAAGAAAAAAAACTTGACAATAAAATCATGTCAAAGGGAAAAGAAATAGATATTTGGGAGCAAGTTGGCTCTCCCCACCACTCCCACGAGGATAGAAAACAAGTAAGAAAAACCGTGTGAACATTAGCGAAAGCAGACTCAAAAATAATTGACCCACATGGCCCACCTCTCTCTGTCTCTTTCCCTTCTACCCTTTTTTACGGTCGGCATACTATTCACTCTTATATGAAAGTTTTATGTCTTCTCTTAGAATTTTTTTTTTAAGAAGAAACGAAAGTATATTTTGGTTTTGATTTTCAAATTTTAATTTAAAATTAATGGTAAAATAACACTTTGCTTTTTATAATAATTATAAAAATTTTTATTGCTTTTTGTTATTATTTCAAAATATATATATTAAAGAGAAAATAAATTTTTATAATTATTATAGAAAAATAAATTATTATTTTTGCTTTAATTTTAAGTTAAAATTTTAAAATCATCTTCAGTTTTCATTCTTAAAAATTTTATTAATTTTTAACAAATATATTTTAATATTACAAAGAATAATAATTTTTAATTTATTATTTTAAGTTGTAATTTTTTTTTTCAAAATTTGATCAGAAACCATATTAATACAATTTTATAAAGTTAATTACTACCATGAAACAATTTAAAATTTAAAAATCAAAATGAAACTCAAATAAAAAATTTTAAATTATAAAATAAACTTTTATCAAATTTTTATATTTTATTAATGTTAAATATAAAATATAAAATATAAAATATCCCTACCTAGAAACAATGCTGAACTCAAATTCAAATCCTTATTTTTAGAATTTTGCAATCTCGAGCAGTGGTAGGACACCCATTAAACCGTGTGGAGCCAACTCGATTGTATTCATTTGTGATTTGTCTTGTCTACTCTTAAACCACTTTTTCCAACAAAAGTTCCAAACCAAAATAATACACCTGTGAATGAGAATCCAATTTGAACGTACACAAAATAGTTATCAACTGCCCTCAATTATTATTTGACCCAAAAAAGAAAGACTTGCACGAACACTACTTAAAACTCGTTAGCTTTTGCACAGCAGACTGCGATTCTTTTCCTCTACTTCAAATTCCTACTCTTTGATTTTCTATCTACTTCCATTCTTCTTATAATTCCTTCCTCAAATTTATTTATTTCGTCATGTCTTTCATTGGAGAGGCCGCTCTATCTGCGTTCCTTGAGGCGTTGTTTGGAAAGTTTGCCTCTTCCGAGTTCCAGTTTGTCACTGAGGAGCGGGTTCGAAAGGAGATTATGAACTGGGAAACTATGCTGAGGAACATCCATGCGGCGCTTGCTGATGCAGAGGGGAAGCAACTGCGGAGTCAGGCTGTGAAGATTTGGTTGGCTGACCTCCAAGACTTGGCTTACGACGTAGATGATATCTTGGACGAGTTTGCGACTCAAGCTTTGGGGCGTGAGTTGATGAAACAACATCAAGCCAGTACAAGTAAGCCTAAAAAATTTAACCCTGCTTGCTTCACTGGTTCACATCTAAGTTCAATCAAGTTTAATCATAAGATGATGTCCAAGATTAAAGAGATTACTGGAAGATTGGAAGGTTTAGCCACTAGAAAGAGCAACTTGGAGCTAAGGGAGATCACTTATCATGTTGGAAGGCCCATGACAATCCCAAGAAGGCAGCCCAGTACTTCTTTGGTGAACAAAGCTAATGTACTCGGCAGAGACAAAGACAAGAGGGCAATACTTGATTTGCTGTTGAGGAACGATGGCAGTGATGCTGGAGTTTATTCTGTGATTCCCATCGTTGGCATGGGAGGGATTGGAAAAACAACCCTTGCTCAACTTGTTTACAATGATGACAGCATAAAAGATCATTTTGATCTTAGAGCATGGGTTTGTGTTTCTGATGAATTTGATATCATCAGGATAACAAAGACAATTCTCCTCTCAGTCACCTCCGAGACATGTGATATGAATGATTTGAATTTGCTTCAAGTCAAATTAAAGGGGAAGCTATGGAGAAAGAAATTCTTGCTTGTTTTGGATGACATTTGGAATGACAACTACAACGATTGGTTGACGCTTCGATCTCCTTTTGATGCAGGGGAACCAGGAAGCAAAATAATTGTCACAACACGTAGTTCCAAAGTTTCATCAATTATGACAACTGCTGCAGACTACTCTTTGCAATGCTTATCAGAAGAAGATTCTCTCAGAATGCTTGCTCATGACGCATTAGAAAGAAAGGATTTTACGAGGCATCCAGACTTGAAAGAGATCGGCGTGGACATCTCGAAGAAGTGTGATGGTTTGCCTTTGGCAACAAAAACCATTGGAGGACTATTGCGCACAAGGGTGAATCGTGATGCATGGAAAGATATATTAGAGAGTGATATATGGAATCTACCTCAACGGGGAAGCGACATAATTCCAGCTCTATGGTTGAGTTACTATTATCTTCCTTCACAATTAAAGCAATGTTTTGCTTATTGCTCTCTGGTCCCTAAAGATTATGAATTTACTGAGGAAGAAATAGTTCGATTATGGATGGCAGAAGGTTTTCTCAATGGAGCAGACAATAAAAGGAAAATTGAGGATTTGGGAAGCAAGTATTTTGAAGAACTAATATCAAGATCATTCTTTCAAGCATCTAGCAAGGATGAATCTCAGTTTGTAATGCACGACCTGATTAATGATCTAGCTCAGTTCGTTGGAGGGGAAAGATGTTTTAAAAGGGAGAGACATGAGGAAATGAAGTGCCCAAGTCACGCTCGCCACTCCTCTTATATCATGGGCGGGTATGACAATATCAAAAAGCTTGAGTCCTTTTTCGAAGCGAAGTCACTACGGACGTTCTTACCCTTTGAGATGCTGAGGATGCATGAGTGTTTCTTAAGCAATAACGTTCTTAATGATTTACTGCCGAGATTGAAATGCTTGAGGGTGCTCTCCTTGAAAAGGTACCGCATCACTGAAATATCAGATTTCATTGGAAATTTGAGACATTTGCGCTATCTAGATTTCTCTTATACTTCCATAAAATGTCTCCCTGATTCATTATGCACCCTTTATAATTTAGAGACTCTTTTATTAAGGGATTGTTGGCGGATTGAGAATTTTCCCCCAAAAATAGGAATGTTAGCCAACCTTTGCCATCTAGATATTGTTGGTGCAGATTCAATGAAGGAAATGCCAAGTGGAATTGGTAAATTAACAAATCTTCGAGCATTGTCTAATTTTATTGTGGGCAATGGTGATGCATTGAATATAAGAGAGATGCAGAATTTATCAAATCTCAAAGGTCAGCTTTCTATTTTAGAGTTGCAGAATGTGAATGAAGCTCATTATGCATGGGAAGCTAAGCTATCAAGTAAGCCTGAGCTCGATGATTTAGAGCTGGAGTGGTGTGAAGACTTCAATGAAAATTTAAGAAAGAAAGAAGTCGAGACAGAGGTGTTGCAGTTCCTTCGACCTCATGAAGTGCTTAAAGTGCTTGCCATCAGATATTATGCTGGAATAGCATTCCCAATTTGGATTGAAGATCCTTCATTTAAAAATTTGCAATCTTTAAAGTTTGTAAATTGTCCAAATTGCACATTATTACCAGCCGTTGGAAAACTACCACATTTAAAGTTTCTTTATATTAAGGGAATGAGGAGCGTAACTAGTGTTGGCAATGAGTTCTATGGAGAGAATTGGCCAAATGTGTTTCCATCATTAGAGACATTGCATTTTGAGGATATGCCAGAATGGAAAGAGTGGAAGAAATGTGAAGTGGATGAGCCGGGAAGAAAATTCCCTTGCTTCCGAGATCTCCTAATTGTGGGTTGTCCCAAATTGATAGGGCCATTGCCAGAGTACCTTCCTTCTTTGGAAAAACTTGAGATTGCTAATTGCCAAAATTTGGTAGTTTCAATTTCAAATCTTCCAAAGCTATGTGAATTAAAAATTGATGGGTGTGAAAAAGTAGTGCTTGGGAGTTGTATGGATCTTTGGTCGGTTAAAAGAATCTCCCTTTCCAACTTTTCAAGGTTTGCATGTGTAAAAAGGGAAAGGATGTCGACGTTAGAGAGGATGAAAGTAGAAGATCTCAATGTTAAAGGTTGTGAGGAATTGGTTTCTGTGTGGCAAACAGAGTGGGGTTGGTTGTTGCCTTTGAGATCTCTTCGTAATTTAAAGCTTAAAAATTGTCCGCAGGTTGTTTCTATAGGTGCGGTGGAGGAACGGGCAAAGATTCTGCAATTAGACATAAACTGCAACATTGAACATTTGAGAATAGAATATTGTGAAGGCTTCCAAAAGTTACCAAAAAACCTCTCGTGTCTTAGAGAGTTAGAGATTGTAAAGTGCCCAAAATTGGTTTCACTTTTGGCGGATAACTTGCCCTCAACTCTTAAAAGTTTGGTGATTACGGAATGTGAGAATTTGGAGTGCTTTTTGGAAGGTGGGGAGAACATCAATTTCAGCAGCACATCTCTCCTTGAATTTCTTCAAATTAGTGGATGTGAAGCTCTCAAATCATTATCATCAAGCAGTAAGTTACCCGTGGCCCTTAAAACGTTGAAGATCTGGAACTGTCCCGAGCTAGAACTTGTAGCACAGGAAATTGGGGATAATACTTGTCTTGAATCTATTCAAATCACGTCTTGTGCAAATATTCAGTATTTACCCCGAGGAATGGACAAGCTTAAATCTCTGAATCTCTATGGTTGTGAAAAACTTGAAGCTCTGCCCAACCTCAACTCTCTTCAAAAGTTTATCATATCGAGTTGTCCAAGGGTGACATCCATCCCAGAAGGGGGTTTACCTGCTAACCTTACAATGCTTCACATCTCTAGAACCAATATTAGGAAGGCAGTAATGGACTGGGGATTGCATAGACTCACCTCTCTTAAAGAACTCCGAATTCATGGTGGTAATTATGATGCGATGACATTTCCAGAAAGGGGTTTGCCTACCAACTTAACAATGCTTGACATATCTGGACCCAATATTGTTAAGGCAGTAATGGAGTGGGGATTGCATAGACTCACCTCTCTTACAACGCTCTACATTTATGGTAGTAATTGTATAGATGCGGTGTCATTTCCACAAGAGGAGATCAGGCTGCCCCCTACGCTCAACCATATTTCTATCTCACTCTTCAAAAATCTACGGAAGCTATCCTCCAAAGGCTTTCAGGATCTTTCCTCTCTTCAATATTTGTGGATACTCAATTGCCCGAAGCTCAAGTCCCTTCCCAAAAAGGAAGTGCTTCCCTCGCTTTTGAATCTACAAATTAGTGGTTGTCCAACGTTGAAGAAAAGGTGCGAAAGGGATAAAGGAAAATGTTGGTCCAACATCGCTCACATACCATGTGTTTACATCTTCGAATGATCAAGAGCAATGTTAAACCCAGAGGTATTTTAATTTGAAACTAATAGTACCATTTAAACTGATTTTTTTTAAAATGTACAAATATATCCACAAAAGTAAAACAACCATGACTTGAGCGAGCACCGTATTCACTTGCATTTAATTCTTAAATATTTTTAGTTTTTCTTTCTTAGTAATAAATCGAAATGATAAGCCTATTTCCTTAATGAGCATAAGAATCGGATCATGTATGACTCATGTATTTTTAATCTGGAATTAATTACTATTTTAAGTTCTGATTTTAAGAAAATATTTTGTTATTAAGTACTGATTTTAATATCTACTCAATTAATTACTATTTTAAGTACTGATTTTAATATCAACTCAAGTATTTTATTTCTTTGGTTTCATGTTGTTTTCAATGTTATTGAAGTGATCATTTATTTGGTTTTCTTTGATCTAATTTTGTTTGGTACTAAATGAGCTGTAAATTTCTAGCTTTTGTCCAGATGTCCAATCTTAGAAGAGAATTTCCCATTTTGAGTTGATGGATGTTTGGATGTGGCCTTGTCTTTTTTCTACAAGAGGGAGATACATACAATTGATGTAAGAAGAGGGATTTCTGTCCGGAGGCTTTCAGAATCTGTTTGTTGAAGAGTGGTGAATGTTGGGACTTGCCTTGAATCTCAGAATCTCATATTGAAAGTTAGTGAGTTTTGAATTTGTCCAGTATCCCACATCGAGAGTTTAGTAAAAGTATAAGGGGTTTCACCCTTATAAATAAGATGTTTTGGTTTTAGTTTGATAACCCCATAGAGTTAGACACCAAGAGAATAGCTAAGTGAGTAGGCTATTAAAATGATGTAATTGGATTTTGGGTTAAGTTTTGAGTAAGGAGTTTTAGGAGACTTTTCTCATTCTAAAAGTCTCACAATTGTAAAGATTTATTTGATAGTGGATTGGGTTTGGAGTAGGTCATTTTGAGTTGAGCCGAACCAAATATTTGTGTGTTCTTATTCTTGATTTGAGTTTGCTATTGTGTGTGTGGTTGCTGCGTGTAAGTGTTATTTTTTTCAACAAGTGGTATCAGAACGAGGTTCGAGGTTTAAGATTTGTGGGCCCAAGAGATCGTGAAGCAATGTTTCAAGATGTCTGAAGAAGGTATGCATATGCCTTGAGATTTCGTTATTTGATGGAAAGAGTAATTTTATGTTATGACAAAGTACGATTCAAGATCTGTTAGTACAACAAGGATTGGATTAGGCATTAGAGAATAGTAAGCTTGAATCTGTTAGTACAACAAGGATTGGATTAGGCATTAGAGAATAGTAAGCCTGAGGGAATGTCTAACGCTAATTGGAAAGGATTCAGAAGAAGGCTGTTAGTACTATTAGATTGGCGTTAGCTCCAAAAGTAAAGTACAATGTGTTGACTGAGAGTACTCCAAAAAGTTTATGTGATAAGCTTGAAGGTATTTATGCTTCAAAGTCATTGGCTAATAGATTATGTTTGAAGATGGATCTGTATTCTCTGAAGATGGAAGAAGGTATGAGTCTTCATAATCACCTGAATGAGTTTAATAGATTAATTTCTCAATTGCTAGCGATTTCTGTTGATGAGTTAAAAGATGAAGAGAATGCTTTAATTTTGCTGTCATCTTTGCCCAAGTCTTATAGGACTTTAGTTCAGACTGTGTTGGTGGGCAGGTCTACTTTAAAGTTGGATGATGTGACTGCCTTGGTGCGTGAGAATGAAAGGTTTATGGGAGCTCAGAGCTCATTACCTAGGGGGAGTACACTAGCTGTAGAGGGTTTTAATTAAGGGAGGAATCAAAAGAGGATTGATGGATCAAGATGGAGATCTAAGTCAAAAGACAGAAATTACAGTGATGTAGAATATTATTATTGTGGTGAGAAGGGACATATCCAAGTGCGCTGCAGGAAGCTAAAAAGGGATATGGTTGCTTTTAAAAGGGCGAATGATGAGAAGAAATTAGATGAAGAAAAGGGTGATACTACTGCTGTCGTGTCTGATGATGATGATGCTGTTTTGACAACTTGTGTTGATGAGACTCAAACTTTGAAAAGTGATAAAGGTTGGGTTTTAGATTCAGCTGCTACAGTTGATGTTTGCAATGATAGGAGTTGTTTTGTGGAGTTGAATGAGAATGAAAAGTATGGGGATATTGTGGTTGCTAACAAAAAAAAGTGCAGATTCAAGGCATTGGAAATGTTCGCCTTAGATCTCACAATGGTATTATTAGGACACTTCGTCATGTAAGGTATGTACCAAATTGTCACTACAATTTGATTGTTTTGGGTGAGTTAGCTTATTGTCACTACAATTTGATTGCTTTGGGTGAATTAGCTTCTCGGGGTACACATATTATGGTAGTAATAATTGGTTGAAAGTGTACAAAAATGATAGTGTGATTCTACAAGGGAATAGGGTCAATAATCATTTATACATGTTTGATGGAGGCTCAGTTGCTGAGATGCCTGTGATAAAAGAAAAAAAGAAAGGTAAGCGTGTTAGCTTTGCAAATACTGTTGAAGTATTTGGAGATTCAAGTCAAGGGAGGATTTGTTAGGATTTGCTTTGAATCTCAGAATCCCATATCGAAAGTTAGTGAGTTTTGAATTTTTCCAGTATCCCACATCGGGAGTTTAGTAAAAGTATAAAGGTTTCACCCTTATAAATAAGATGTTTTGGTTTTAGTTTGGTAGTCCTAGAGAGTTAGACAACAAAAGAATAGCTAAGTGAGTAGGCTATTAAAAAGGTGTAATTGGGTTTTGGGTTAAGTTTTGGTATAATTGGGTTTTGGGTTAAGTTTTGAGTAAGCAGTTTTATGAGACTTTTCTCATTGGAGTAGGCCATTTTGAGTTGGGCCGAACCAAATATTTGTGTGTTCTTATTCTTGATTTGAGTTTGCTATTGTGTGTGTGGTTGCTGCGTGTGGGTGTTGTTTTTCCCAACAGTGAATTCTCAAACATTAATCTTTTGCATCTCTTATCAAAACGACTAGCCTCTTCATTTTGTAGATAAATATGGTTGAATGTTGCTTAATTGTTGGTCAGATGATGCAAACGTCATAGACGAGGAACTGAATCAGGAGAGCCTAGGCACTTTATGTTTCCTTCTTTCATCCTCTTGTTCATTGTAGGTATGCCTCCTAAAACAGCTTCTCTATTATTATTATTATTAATCAGTTCTAAAATTTAACCTTTCTCCCAGGTGTGGAATTCTGCATCATCTATGAGCCCTTTGAGCAATGACTCTGTTCAGCCACCTTCCATTGAAGACTTTCAAATATCGATGTTGAATGTTTGGATGTAATCTTTTCCACACAAAATAGATATAATGCAGCCCACCTTTTGTTCATCTCTTTTTGAAAGGTCTGGTTTCTTCAATTTGTAGCTAAATACTGATGACTGTCACATGCGATCAATTGGTCAAGAATCAGATAGCTTGGGTTCCTTGTGTGAATATTGATGACAGATTCATCCTATATCTACAAAAAAAAAAAGAAAAAAAGAAAAAAGAAAAGAGGCATGAATTTTAAATTGGAAGCAAGGTAACTAGATACTGACATCTTGTTTCCTAAAAATTTTAATTAAAATGAAGATCACCATAATAAGTATCATGTATTCATGTACTAAAACAGACTATTGTAGAATTTCTGTGTCAAGGAGCTGGGCATTGAGAGCATGCTACTGTGTGTAATAAGTCAGGTATTTCAGTTTTAATTATTTTCTTTTGCCTTTGAATTTAAGGAGATTTAAAGATTGATGGACCTTTGGACTTTTACTACTTTGAAGACATAAGCTTGTTGGCATTAGAGCATGAGCAGGCGTGAAATCCATCTCTTTTCTTCTTTGTAAAATGGTCATCGCCTTCACTTGACCCTCCATGTCCTTCAAACTACTGCAGGTGAGAACAATTAGAAATTTTCTGGTTTCTATCTCTGTTGTGCATGTGCATAATAAGAGCTCAATTCGTATCACCAGGAATTTTGGCTCTTCAGGAGGTATTTATTTTTGCCATCATTGATTGAATGTAACCAAAAGCAGTATGACAGTAGCTATTTCATAAGAAGTTCTACCAGTTAGTCTTTTGTCTCTGTTGTTGCCTACCTCCTTGTGCCACGTAAGCGTCAAAAGAGTTTTGGAAAATTTACTGTGTTCGGTTTTTGATACTTACTCCCCGTGGCAGTTAACAGAATGCTTTTGCATTTTATGACAGGATGAATGGAACTCCCACATTCTTATGTCAATGAACAACCAGACGTGGTTATGGTGTTTGTAACTACTTGATTTGTCTCCACAAACACTTCACTTTTGGTCACATTGATCTTGCTAGAGCATTTTACAAGAGACGATTATATGTTATCCAAGAAATTTACTTTTTTTGATGATAAGTTGTCGTAAAATCTTGTGATTAAATCATGTTGTAATCCCATTATTTTGAGTAAAGGAAGCTGGATTGGATTTGGTCCGGTGGTTTTTCCCCATGCCAAGGGGTTTTCCACGTAAAATTTGGAGTCCTGATTTAAGATAATTTCATTTTATTACATTGATATCTAATGATTATAACTTATCAAATGGTCAACTTAATTCGTTCAAAGAGGGAGAAGAAATTGGAATTGTGGTTGTCTGGTGGTTTGAATATACAGTGTTTGTTGTATTTTCTGGTTGTAACAGTAGAGCTCAAAAGACATGGTGCTTATGCAGCTTTCTTTTCTTGATTCTACCTGTACCTCAAATCTTTGATCCATAGA